TAAAATGCGGTCGACAATGAAATTCTCAAATAATTCTGCATCCACGATATAATTCTGTTTGTAGAAATGAACGTCCAGGAAGATGGAAGGGACGACCATGAAGGACGCAGGCGATCGTGTCAAGGATTTTGTTCGGAAACTTAAGAAGGTAAATTTAAAAAGAGAGAAAAACAATGCTGAACCGAGGGGGTTTTCGTGGCAGAGTGATCGGTGGCAGCCGTTAGTTTAATCATCGCGCATTAGCCGAACTACCCCTTGGCCCGGAGGCCTCGCCCACTTTCACCCTCGGATCCCGCGTTTGTACGTACGTTCCGTTCGGCCGCCACTGTCAGCTTTGTTCCGTTCTCATTTGTTTTATTCAGTGTTCGCGATGCGCGGTGCCGTTTGTCACCAGCCACTCTTCTCGCTCGTTTCCGCTCGCCCGCTTCGGCCAATCGCCACCCCCCTCGCCTCGTCAACCCCCGACGTCATTTCCGTGTTTTCGAGTGCCGCGTCCAGGCCAAACGCGTTCCGGTTTTTACGAAATTTGTCGCTATTTTTTACGTCGGACATCGGGTTTAAAATATTTAATCCACAAGTAGTATTGCAGTTAACAATTCCTTATATTGGAATGAAATCTACTGAATTCTCCACAAACTCGATATAATCGGAACTGATTTTTTGGACGAAGTTTTTCTTGGCTTCACTTCGCCAAGAAAATATTTCATTCCTTTCGTTTCCAATCCGGCGACGGAAATAAAAGGTCGCCAATAAAGATCACCGGGGATTTTTAGTTTTCTTTTCCGAACAGACTGTTGTCCGTGATCGAAGTTAAAGCAGAATTTCGTGGACCCGGTGTCTTTTTGCCCGGGACGCGGTTAAGCGTGTCGCCGTCGTTGGAATCTTCGCCGCGAAACGCGTTTCGTGCATTTCCAAATTTACGGGGTGACGTCGCGCGTATCAAAAGAAATCGAAGGGCGAGAAGGGTGAGGGAACGGAAAAAGAAGTGGAAGAAGGTCGTCGGCTCGTTGGCAAGAACAATGATGAATGCGACCAACTCCCCGGGATACCTTCGTTGGAAAGTTCGGCGTGGAAAAGTTTCTCGCGACTACATCTGTGTCACGATTTTTCTCTTGCTATTTTTCTCATCCGCGTAATTACCGAACTGAACGAAACCGGAACTGCGCTTTAAATATCATATTTATAAGCCGTGATATTCATTTGATACGTTCCCAAAATCGGGACCCTCGATATTTATTTTCTTTCGCGTGCGATCATCCTCTTGTCCGTTTAGTCATTTATGAGTGCTCCTGGTGCCCAGCTTGAATTATTACGCTCGCCTCTCATATTGCACGATCTTCATTAGCGATCGTCGGCTGTGAAATGCGAAAGGAACATAGAACGTTACCGCTTCGTACGATATTATTTTATTTTCCAAATTCTTTCCGCTGCTTTTGTTCAGTTATAAAGGATCCATTGAGGATTTCTCACAATACCGAAAGAACCCTGATTCACGTTGCAAACGCTTTAAATGTTCACGGAACGAGGTAACGTCCTTGGGAACGATACAACCTCGCTGCAACGGCGTCGAAAGAGGTTTCGAACGAACGCGGAGAGGGAACGGGACGAATGAGAGGGCGAAGGAGGCGAGATTTCGAGAGAAAAATACGTCGAGAGCACGCAAGAGGAAAAGAATATTCCCTGGGTTGGTGTCGAAGCCCGCGAAGTGGCGCATCGCATCCAACGGTGAAAGGGGGTGGGCGATGAAGGGGTTGCGCGGTGGGCCGAGGGGAGAAAGACGAAGCTCCGGCTCGGTCGCTCGCTCGCTCGCGTCCCAGCGCGCAACAAAAGCGTGATAAATCGAGTACATTAATTCGCATTTTACCTTTGTTTGCGTTATGGAATACAATATTAAATGGAATGGGCGCACAATAGATAATGTTGGGCGCCATCATTTACGCGCGCGGCGCGTGGACGAGAACGTTGCTTAGGTACGGCCCGGGAGTTTCGCGTGGAATCGTTGTTCCCGCCATCGTCCTCTTCGTGGAATTCAGCCCGGTTCTCCACGCCCTCCCAAATTGTCCCGATCGTCCCGTTTCGCAACGAGAAGCGACCATTAATCCGCTACCTGCCGAGAAACCTGTTCTCTCCTTTTTCATCGATCCCATCGTTGATCTCGCCTGGAGCTCATCGTGCGTGTGCCAGATTTTCCAAACGTTTTGTCGTTTATATTAATTTCACGACTGTTTATCATTCATCTATTGATGAATTAGAATAATGGATCGCGTTAGTAACGTGGCAAGTGCATCGAAATCTTATCCCAATGATTCGAGAGTGGTAGCGGTACCGAAGACTTGTTTAAAATGGAGTTCTCGACCGAAAACCTTGAATGTTAATTAGAAAGAGTGATTAGAGATATGGCATCTCATTAGGCGCGAACGTTACGATAGCAGCAGTCCGCGTGCCATTTGTCGACGCCCAAGCAACCGTCGATCGTATCGTTCCCGGTTAATGGAATTCAATTTGAAACGATGAACGGCAGAATCGCCGGATAGCGGACTAAAATTCTGAACGTAAAACGAATCTTGCGTCGCGCTTGTCCGTCGCTTTTATGAAAAGGCGATACACTTGCTTCGAGGGCATCCAGTCGACGGATTCTCTTCGTGGAACGTAGGGGGAGAGGGAGAGAGGAAGTTAGCGATCTTTAATCCGAACCGTGGGGGAGCAGTTTCCGGTCGATGTCTGCCGGCGGAACTTAAGGTCCGTGGAAGTTGGTAGCTGCAAATGGTGTTGGCAGGCCTGGGTGACGCATGGATTCGATTCCTGGGAGCTCGTGATTCCGCTCGGTTAGCCCCGCGTCACTCCCAGCGAAACCCCATTTACCCGCTTCCAACCTCCCATTCCGCTCCCGCTGTCGTGGAATCTGGACGCCACAGCGGCGCGGCGTAGCTTTACCTATCATCTACACGCGAACACACGTATGTACGAACGTACGTACGTGTATAGAAGAGCTCGGCAAAGCGGAACGCTCGCAAGGACCGCGGGAACGCAACCGCCGAAGCCGATAGCACGAGTTAATGCGGTGCCAAGTGATCGTTGATCGATCGCTTTGCTTTGCTTTGCTTTCTCTCTCATTCCTTCTCGCCGCGAATGCATATCGTCGACAGAATTTAGCTTGCCAAAAAACACCAAGAAATTGATATTACGATATACGATATAATCGTTTTGCCTTGATAAAGATTGGCATGTAAATCGTGATAATGATATTCGATCGAAGAATTAATCTAATCGCTTCGAGCCTCGCGCAGAGACAAAGGACACCGTGTTTCTTGCACGCGAGATGTCCATTTTCCACGAGGCAATTTAATCATGGCGGAGGTTGTCTCGCAGCAACGAGGTCGACTCGAGAAACGAATGAACTGAACTTTCGAGAGCTATCGATTATCAACCGCCCGTCTTATTCTCCAGTCGCGCGAGGATCCTCTTATTCCTCTTCCGGTGCCACCCCTGTGCGGCGTTATACATATACCAGATACCCCCGACATTCATTAGCCCTGGCGATGCCGAAGTAATTTAATTCGTCGCTGGATTTGTGGAATGTTAATGAAAACAGGACAGGCGTCCCTGTATCAATTTCTGGTTGAAGTTCGCCTTAATTCGTTTGATGCGTGGAATTTAATTCAATTCCTCACCCTGTGCTGCTTTTTTTTACAATACCGCAACGCCATAACGAGAACCTGTTAAAAAATGTTTTATAGAAACTTTACCGAATCCACATTTTCGATCGAGTCTCGCTATGATCGAACCGATGTTTAATTCTTGACGGGAGTTCACCAAACTATAGACGTAGTCGCAACGACGCCGATGGTAGAGCGATATCGGTTTGCGCGTCGATGCTTGAGTTGGCCGAACGCTTCGAGGGGGTGGAAACAGGAATGAGGGTGGTGTACCGGCTCACCCTCCCGGGTAATGGAATACCTTCGTCGGAGGAACGCAATCACGTTGATGTTTCGGAACCCCAAGCCTGCCACGAGGGATTTCCGCGCTCATGAGCAGATCAGGCTCGCGTGCTGCTCCTCCGTCTCTCTCATCTTCTCTCCCGTCTCGTTTCTCCAATTCCCTCCTCCGCGTTTGTCCTGTCCCCTAATCTATCGATCAACGATATTGGCCTGAAACACTTTTTCCTTGTTTCGTCCCGATCGATTAGCAGTCGTCGATCAACGCTTTCGAGGCCTTGAAAAATGCGGCACAGGAAAGTCCACACAGTTTGAACTTTGAATCCCTGCCAACTAAAATGGAACAGTTGCAAGTCCTTTTCGAGGAAATGATTGCGGGAGGATAAGGTCGTAATTTTTTCATACATTCCGACGAAGGGACGGATTCAGCATTCCGGAAATTGCTAGGCGTTATTCTCCGAGCGCGGGGTCGACGAAAACCCCTCGGAGCTACGTAACCACCTCCGATCATCCCCCGAGCTGGGCTAAGTCGCTGGGCAAAGTTATGAATTCTTTCGCGGGGAAATCTTGCCGGTGATCCTTCGAAGTTGAGCGGTCGACCAGGGATCAAAGAAGTTGTGCGCCGGAGGATGGTAGGGGGTGGATCAAGTCGCCTTAAGGATCAAACCCGAGGGCTTCCGGAGACCCGGAGACGATGACGAAGGCGCCGAGGAAGGAGAAAAAGAAGAGAGGATGATTTTCGGCGAAAAGAATTCAGCGGCGGGTGTTGCGAGGGGGTGAAACGCGGAGTTTGAGAGAAGAGCGCCGGTGGAAAGGGAAGCGAAGCGAGCTAGCGACGCGGAATACAAAGCAGCGACCGAACGATAGGAAGAGGATTCGAAGGAGGCTCGGCGAGGGCTAAGGGAGGCCGAGGAAAGGGAAGGGGATGGCACGAGAGGACCCCCCGTCGTCTATTCAAAACCGGCGCATGAGTTATCGCCGAGGATAATCTGTAAATGATATTTATTTTGATTTTTGTACAGGAACGCGGTTTTATTTCGGTGCCCCGTTCTTCCGTCGACCTTTTTACGAATCGGTTCCGATCGCGGCTCTAGTTCGGGATTATAAACGAGCGCCGGCACACATGTTTCCAGGTGGTAAACCAGAAAAATGACTGTCCACCACGCGCTTCTGTCCGTTTATCGCGCGGGACCGGCATTCCGGCGAGCGTATA